TCTCAGGGGGGGGGAGGGGGTAATAGGGACATGCGAACGTACTTTTCTTTTAAATGACTACATGCGAACAAGTGCGAACATAAGGGGGGAGGGGGTCTAGATTTTCTAAAAAGTGCGCACGTACTTTGAGAACGACCCCTAATAAATTTTTATTTTTAAAAATCATACATGTATTTAATTTAACCCATAATAATAATTATTTACATAAGATAATGATATTGACAGTGTACCTTCTAATCTATAAGATCTTACATGTAGTTTTAAACTTTGTCAATTAAAGATCTAAAATATTATAACTTATTATATTAAATTGTTAAAGTTATACACTGTTATAAAAGTAGAATGTATATAATTTTACGACTTATACGAGTGAAGTATTAATACTTACAATTTACATGTTACATGACTACATAACTGTACTGTATGCACTTGCATGTTATGTGTACTTTAGGATAAGAGAGCTAATTTAGTACTATTACAATTGTTTTTAATAAACACATGAAGCACAGAATAAAATTATATTTGTACTTATCGTAGTACAGGATTAAAATCAATATAGTGTACTGTACATGTAAAGGTTACATTGTAAACAAAATTAAATAATATCTAATACTGGGTACATATTATGGTGGGTACAAAACTAATCATATTATGTACCTAATATTGTTAGTTTTAGTTATTCTATTGTAGTATTGTAAAATAATTAATATAATTTAATATCTATAATACAGTTAAATGAGAAATTGTAAAAATATTTGATGTAAGAGTGCCCTCACATTATCAGTGTTTATAGAGATTGAGTATAAATGTCCAAACATTTCATAGAAATACAATCACATTTTCCATAAATTGTGAAAAATACACTATACTGTAGTAAAAGTAATTAATTAAGAATAATGGTCCAAAAGTTAACCATAATGTTCGCACCGGTGGAGGGCGTGGGACACGTGAACGCGTGCATAGGTTTGGCTGAAGTGCTGTTAAGTCGGGGCCACAAAATCGTGTTTGTAGTGAACGAGTCCTATGCGGGAAAGTTAGCGCCGTTTGGTTTCGTTGAAGAGATTGTCACTTCAGGTGAGGCGACAAATGAAAAGCCCGGCGAAAACATTGCTAAACAACGGCTCGAGTCGGGACTGTTGTCCGCCGAGACATCGTATAAATCGATGCAAATTAATATGAGTTTACCCTTCTTTGAGGGCAAGACCGACACAATGCGGGCCAATGAACCGCAGCTCAAGGCTATTGTCGCCAAACATAGACCCGATGTGTATATCATCGACCACTTCATCGGCTCTCCAACACTAATCCACTCAACCAAACCCTGGGTTTTCCTGTTTAGCGGAAATCCATTATTCATTATTAATGATGAGAGGACTCCTCCCGGCTGTTCGGGTCAGTTGTTTAGTTGTTTCCATTTATTAATTGTTCATAATTTATAAATATATAATTTTAGGCTATCCTACAAATGTATGCGACCGAAATGAATGGCAAGAATTCTGGAAATTATCTAAAAATATGTTCAAAAAACTAAGCGTTAAATACAATGAATGGATGAAAGAGGAAGGCTTTCCCGTAACCACTAACGACAGAGCGATTCCCGACTCGCCTTATCTTAATATCTATGGATATCCCGAAGAATTGGATTATTTAGATCTCAGACCACTTCCCGAGAAGTGGTTAAGAGTCGACACATTTATGAGAAGAGGAGAGAAACAAGAGTTTGAAATTCCCGATAAATTCCGTGACAGAGATGTAGAGAAAAGTAAATTAATTTACTTATCATTGGGTTCTATGGGTTCAGTAAATGTAGATCTAATGAAGCGATTGGTGTCTATTCTCAGCAAAAGTCAGCACAAGATTATTGTCTCGAAAGGACTTCTCGGAGACACATATGAATTGGCGGACAATATGTGGGGCGAGAACTCAGTCCCGCAGACAAAAGTGTTGCCATTAGTAGATGTGGTCATAACACACGGCGGGAACAACACTATTACCGAAACATTCAGTTGCGGTAAACCAATGATAATAATGCCATTATTTAGCGATCAATACGATAACGCGCAGAGAGTTATGGAAAAGGGATTTGGGATTAGACTTAATCCGCACACCGTTTCAGAGCAGGAATTGCTTAACTCTATTGAAAAGCTATTGAATGATAAGGAATTGAAGCATAAATTATCCGTCGCTTCAAAACGTATGCTTAACTCCCATAGCCTTCAAATAGTAGCGCAAGAGATTGAAAATCTTATTCAATAAGGTTGTAACATATCTTTTATGTGTTTTCATAAAGAGCTTAACTTTTTCATTAGGTTTAATTATAACTATGACATCGATTTCAACCATTTGAAAAATTTTACTTTAGCTGTGACTAAAACTAATAAAAAAGTTAAGCTCTTTACGAATAATTCACAGTAATTCCAGGCGGTTTGGGGGCGAAGCCACCAAATGTGTGTGCATATGCACACACATATGTATCTTAGAAATCATATGGACCCCTAAGCCTAAAATGACCTCCCGGTATTTTGACAACGGATTCGTTTGTATGACCAAAAAGTAGAATAGGAAGGAAATAGTAAGAAAAAATCCTATGATGTAACTTTCGAGATAATTGACCGAATATCGAAAAAGCCAATAAATTCATATCTCCTTAACGCTAAATGCTAAAATTATGCTCTAAAATGCATTATGACCTCCATTCATCGGGATTAGTCTTAGAAAAAACCGCATCAATATCTGGCCAAGCGTTGACCCGGAATTTACACATTTGTTTCAATAGAATTTTCGGAAAACCGGAAATTAGCCAGCGTTCGGCCAAATGGAAAGCTATATTCTTCTAACTTCTTGAGGCATTAGTAGACACCTATAGACACACTTTAAGCACCATAACTCAATTTCGACTATACAAAAATTTCAACTTTGTTTTTACTGTAGCGCCCCCTGGAGTCATGGGATCGAGGTGGGCCCACCAGCATTATTGTTAAGCTTGATGACCTTGACAAATAACATGTCAAACTTTTTGCTCTAACTAGTACACAGACAAAATTGGAAGCTCTAAACCCTAAAAACATAGTTTTGAGATATAAACCTGTTTAATTTTGACATACCGGCAATGATTGTGGGCGACTGAAATAACCTAGAAAGTTGATATATGGCATCCGGGTACAAATTAAAGTTTCCAAAAAATTCCCGAAGTCCCGCCCCCGGTCGGTCCCGATTTCCGGGAAAATGGGTATACATGTGTTTGCGACTCTAGCGCCACCTGTGAGCCTCAGAATGAGTCGAGACCGGGTCCGTTGGAATCCTAATAACATTTGTGGCCGATTAGACCCCCACTTGCCTATACCTATCTGTAAGCGTTTAGCCACAATAGATGATGTTATAAGTCAAAAATTCCCATAGACTTTACATTATGGATTTTTAATTGCAGTATTTTTTCAAAAATATTAATATAAAATTTTATATAATTAAATAATAATGATTAATAATAATAATAATTAATAATAATAATGATTAATAATAATAATAAATAATAAATAATAATTAATAATAAATAAATTAAAATTATTAAATTAAATAAATAAAAAATAAATAATTAATTCTCTCTCTCTCTCTCTCTCTCTCTCTCTCGCACTCTCTCTCACTCTCACTCTATCACTCACACCATGAGTGCCACGACAGGCCGACGCATATCAGCGCCACTGCGTGCAACTCTGGCCGATGCCATACCTGAGCCGTTGGGCTCATAATAAGGGCCGTAGAGCCCGACGACTGCTGCGGCGGTGATAGCGGAGCCGGAGAGGTATTGACACCCCCTCTGCCGAGCGGATAAGGGCCGGACAGCCTTGAGCAAGCTGCGCCGGCATAACTCAGAATAGAGGTGCTGTCCAATTTTTCTCACTTTATCACCCTCTACTAGTCTACAACCCGTCTCGTGCCCCGTAACTCGTACCTATGCGTGCACCGGATGTGCCACGCCAAACCGCCTGTGGACGTAGTACTTGTTCCCAGTAATCTATAGAATTCGTTTGGAGGGTGATCACAATTTTTATAATACACATTTGACCATGCCCATCGTGTAGATCATAAAAAAGTAGGATAGGAATAATATCAAGAAAAAATTCTATGTCGGAACTACCGAGATAATGGCCAAAACAAAAAACCCTCTCCCATATACTCCCCCATAGAAAAAATTATAAATTCAAAAATTGCGCTCAAATTTGATGAAATTGTTGAATATAACCTTGATAAATTATATTTGAATCATGGTGTCATTATAAGATTACTGGGCGTGTCGATTTTCCCCACTTGTTATAATATTGTAGAGTTAACAATCAATAGATTTGGTTTTTAAATGAATTTTAGTAAACTGTCAGAAAATTAATTTATAGTGTTTGCACACTAAATGCAAATATAAAAACACAAGTATTCTATGGTCAATG